CGTTGAACACAACTGTCACAAATCAAAAAAATTTTAAAAATTAGCGAACTAATATAGCTGTGTTGTCACACAAACAAAACAAATGCTTTAAAATAAAATGTGGAGTCATAACCTGCTCCAAAAATACAGAGTCACTGCTGGGGAACTTCTGAAATCACTCAAGTTTACTCAGTTCAAAAATCCCCTCCCCTCCAACTCTCAGGTTTACACCAGCTGAACTAACACCCGCCAGCTTCGTCTCTTCAGGCCTCACAAACGCACCGCTACTCACTCGCTGGCACTTTTGCCTGCCATCACATTTTGACTTTGTCTGCATACTTATCATGAGATAAACGGGAAACGGATTTCAATCAACATCGATACCTCTCTGCGGTTATCTTAGCACAAAGAGGTGAGAAAATGCACTCTGCCCATGAGTCAGGGTCACTGTGGCCACGGCGGCGCTCATTATGTGTGAGTCACAGCGGAACATTAAGACGGAGCAGGAAAGAAAACACTGTGGTGTTCAAGAGGGGAGAGCTGGGGGTTCACTGTAGTCGGATCATATTAAATGGTTATGAAAAACTATGCACTATATTGCTTTTTTTTTTTTTAAGTTGACACTTCAACTAAGCCTGATGCAATAAGCAATACATAGAATATTAATCCTATGATAAATTAAACAAGCCTGGTCATTTTAATTTGAAGGGTAATTTTGTTTATTATAATCCATATTATTTATGTTTTTGGTTGCGTGTGGTTTTACTACTGTTTTATTTACTGGGTGTGGTTTAAATATCATGTTTTATTTTGGATATTTAAAATATCTTCCGGTTTCATTGCTAAATGCTTTTTACAAAAAAAAATGTTATTGGTGTAATAAAGGGCGAAATTGCATTATTATTCCACCATGATGAATATATTACTGGACAATGGCCTCAAGACATCATATAGTTTATTACAATAATTACTGTTAAATCCCAGCCGTGTGACAGGCCTAACTTCAACCAAGCGGAGAGAACTACATATAAAAAGCTAAAATATACATAACATTTTATGATATGAACTGAAATCTTGAAATCAGTAGGACACAGGGAGCGTACCTGTCCAGTCCAGAAAAGCACTCTGAATATATAAAGCCTATTGCACATCCAGAGAAACCGTGGTTGACAAAGCTAGCCATGCTTATAGCATTTTCTTAAATCTGTGTCCTTCTGCTCTACAAATAATCCATCTACCCACCCAAGCTCCAGCTGTGTGGTTGCCCCGTGAAAGCACGACTTCTCGCTGCCGCCTACATGGCGAACCCGTTAAGCGTCAGAGAGGGGCCGTCTATGTGCGCACTGCAGTAGCTGACATAATGCCGAAGCTTCCACTGCATCGCCTCCACCCCCCGCTCTACTGGCTAAACTCTTTGCTCACTGTTCCCCCTTTGCCTCTCACTTCCAGTCCATCCCCACCCACTGCTTGGAAAACGCCTGGATGTGCCACGGCTTTCTACTCCATCGTAACACAAGAGTCTCAGTTGCGTCTCTGCCTTCGGTTGACCTTACAGTCGGTTACGCGTCCCTCGGTCCTGCCTGCTCGCAGATGAAAGGAGTCAGAAACGCAAACTCGCTCCCTGGCAAGGCCGTATTCAGCTAGCCAGTCCATTTTCCCCTCCGTCTCTCTTTCATACACAACATACCGCTCCACTCTACTCTTTATGGGGCCTGTTACCAAGGCGACGGCAGGCAAATATTTTGTGCGTGAAGCGAGCGGGGTTGATAAGATAGGAGAGGAAGAGAGTGAAGTAAATGGCAGAGTGAAGGAAATGGGAGGTCCCGAATTAAAAAAAAAGACGACGACGACGACGTCGGCTTGCTGGATGGAAAAGCTGCAGTGACCTTTCACTTAGCTGCACTCCAGCCAGATCCTCCTCCTCTCCTTTCCAACAACTTCCTGTCGTGTACACGCCACCGCTGCACCTATCTCTGCGCTGTGTTGTGTTGGAGCAGTTTGTACCCCACACACCCCATAACCTTATTAACAGACTAACGTTTTTATCAAGGGAATCCTTTGTTATTTCTGCCAAACAAGACAGAAGGAATACATTATGCAGAAAGCAGCCGTGTGCACATAAACAACATAATGTACAGAAGAGGTTTTCAATCCAAATTAACGAAGCCAGAGGCTAATGAAGCCGAATGAAACTCTATCATCCGCAGAGTAAACACAGTTTTACTGAGTACGTCCATTTCAGTCAGGAAAGAATTTGAGTGCTTAAACTATCAAACGGTGAGGAAAATGTAAGACATTTTTCTTCTCCTTAGTCGTGACAAGACATAGGTTACTGATATAAAGCCATTCAAAAGATCTATGAAGTTACAGCTTCAAAGTCACAAAACCATTTTAGGTCATGTTGTTGCTGCAGTTTTAAGGCTTTCCAATGAGGTGCCAGAGAAAATGGCAGAGCGACCATCAGAGTTTTTTTCAGCTTTATGGGGCACAGAAATAAAACGACGCTGGAAGACGAGCTTTCGCTTCATTATCGGATATGACTTAGTGAAAGCAAGAAAGCAAAATTCAGCTTTTCTCTATTAAATATGTCTGTATGGCTGCCAACTGCATGCTGGCTACCAAAGTTAATGTCCCAACAAGTCAACCTCCTCATTTCGACCCCTCCGTGTTTCCCTATACAGACCAGAAACGATTCCCCACCGTAAAGGAACTTAATACATAGAAAAATGTGTTGCAGTTATTTGATACAGTTTTGACTCAAAAGGAAACATGTAAAGATTATTTCAATTTATTCGATTGGATTAAACCAAAAAGATTTAAGAGAGAAGTTTTGATGATACACTTAAATATTGTAAACCGAGGGAGTCGTTAGTTTCAATTCTAATTGATTGATTGAAGCGTCTTAAGCAGATCAAAAATCTGTCCCTCGCAAGAAAAAAAAAAACAAAAGTAAAAAATAAATGTTGCTAAATATAACTGTATAAAATGTTATTGTAGCACAAGCAGTGAATAAATTCTACTTTTCTGCTTTAAGAATAACCAATAAGATCTTGTGCGTTTTGTGCGCAAAGTTTTCAGGTAACCTTCCTCAAAAGGCTTCATCCACCGTGAACCTCATACGCGCCATTTAGCAACTATAGCTATGACTCAGGTCTGAAAACAGCAAAGTCATTGCACGTCCAAGGAAGTAAAGGCCACCAACTTGCCCTTGTCTCATGCTTATGTAAATAGCAGTGTGCATGTACTGAGGGCAAAGTCTGATGGTAAACATGGGATGAACAAGGTTACAGATCAAATACTTTAGAAGTACAGACAAGTGTACTTCTAAGGATAGGAAGGCCAGAAAGAAGACACACTAATCACTGTACATAGGAGAAGAAATTACTTTGCTCCATACCTATTTCACTTCATTATCTTAAACATCTCTTTTATAGCCCTGTTGATTAGGCAATAGCTGTGGGAATGGGCCTTTGGCTGCATGCATTCAGGTGTCACCTTTTCCTAATTCCTCCCCAGGGAGTAGTAATGTGCCTACTTGCCAGATCGCATGTGCCAGTACGTCTTCTGGATCCATTTCCTAATGGGACATAACAGTTTACATGGTTCACTGCGAGCAGAATAATCTAAGGCCAAGACTTGACATCGGCAGGTTTTGATCTTTCTGCCAGGCTTTTACGAAAACAATTTTGATTCGCATTGTCTGGAGGTGTTACAATGTGAATCCTGCCGAGACTGTGAGCGCCGCGCAGCTGGGAGCAGGCAAGTCTCTCTTACAGCGCAACAGCAGATCCTGGAAAACTGTCAGCAGTAAAAATTAAAGTTACAAGAGAGGCTGATGCATGAGAAGAAAGTCTGACTGAGATTATTTCTGAAGGGGGTTTGCACTCGAGCTTTTTCGTGCAGCTCACATGGAATAAGAGATCAGATAAGGGGAAGAAAAATAAACAAGAACGTCTCCCTTCTGCCATGCAAGCATCACGTTTGTGTGGTCAAAGTGATGGTAGAAAATGCTGTCAGAGATAAAGTGATGGCAGAGGAGATAGACTTTTTCTTTTTTTTTACTTTCTTCTTCCAGGTTGCTGTAGAATGAAGACAAAAACAAGGGCACTAACTTATCCGTCTCCATGTGCTGGAAAATCACATGGCTCACCCTGACACGCTACCTGTGGAGCAAGTGTGTTCGCTTGTGTGCGTATGCCCACATGTCGGCGTTACAAACGCAGAGATAGCGCGGAGCAGAAAAGGCGTCCAACCAATAAACAACAACGTCAAAAGACGTCACGCAAACACTGGGGGTTATTTTGTTGCCGGTATTTATCCTGAGAGGCAGGGGAATAATATTCGCCCTGGATGTCTCTGGAGCTGCTCTCGTCCGGGCCAGACTTGAGGGTTTGCTCAACCTCAGCAAGCTGAGACATTTCTGGCCCTGAAAAACATGCCAGTTGTGTTATGGAAACTGAAGAAAAGACCACAGTCTGACCAACATCAGGACGATGATAAATCAGAGAATGCTCTACATGCAATTGATCGCGGCACAATGCCAAGACAGAATGAAAGCCTCCATATTTTCAGAATGAAGGTTCTGCACACATATATCTGAACAAATTTATGAACGTTCAAATTTCGTTTTTTTTTTTTAAAAAACCAACACTGCCTGATACTTTCCATTTGGCCACTATGTGCCGTTCTGCTCTCAGGAGTGAAGGAAAACTAGAGGAAAACTAGAGGTGCCAGTCCAACGTAGAAGGAGAGAAAAGGCAAAAGAAAGGTACCTAAAGAAGGTTATGTTAAATGCATTTTTAGTTTGTATGCTGCATTTGAATGACAGTAATATTGTTAATTAATCTAGTTTGGCCTTCATGCGTAATGTTTCAGATACATTTGAAGGTTCCCTAATGATTCTGGTATGTAATCAGCAGTAACTTCCCCCCCACCCAGTTTTCTTCCAAGATTTTTTTTTTAAAATCCTGTGATTATTAAATTTGCTCCAGAGTCCTCACCCTCCTAAAACCGTCTCTCACCTTAGTGCGTCCATTGATGACACAGTTCCCCAGCTGTCCATTGGCAGCGCTGTACAATATGGCCTCATCAATGTGAGCCATCAGTGTCCCGATGCTTTGGCACTCCCGCTCCTGCCCCTTCACCCAGGCGATCTGGTCGCCTCGGATGTTCCGGGAGGGAATGTCCGCCTGGCTCACCAGCTGTCCGCCCCGGAACTTCCCACTCTGGTTCAGAGCCTCCACCTCCTTCAGGACACTGTCTCCCAGCTGCACACCGAGGAAGTTATCCTTCACACAAATACCGTAGTACTTCATGCAGGGGATAATGTACTGCTTGGCGATGCGCTCCGCTGACCAGCCGGTCCCTGCAGGAGGCAGGAGGCCAGGGATGGAGGGCAAATTTGGTACAGCTGCAGGATCTGGGGATGCTGTGTAATGTCCATTTCGCAAGTTGGCATTTTCAGGAGAGCAGTTTGGATGGTTGTGAGAGCTGCTGCTGTTGACGGTGACTCTAATCGGGGCGACTGCTCGGGCCACTCTGCGCGGTTCGGATGATTTGCTAGCAACAGTTCCATCAGCCAACTTCCGCCGCTTTAAATCTGACTCCCCTGCTCCACAATCCGGGTCTGCTGAGCATCCCAACCCTGGCGAGCCCATGACATGGCCATTGAGGATTTCTGATCCACCATCCCAATTCTCTCCGTTCCTCCTCTTCTGCTGCTGCTGTGCCTGCCTGACTTTCAGGTCCTCATTGATTCTCCTCGCTCCTAAAGAGCATATGTCATGAGCCGTTCTGTCCCCATCCTCCATCGTGAGGCCTCTGCTGTTAAAAGTGCAGACGGAGCCACCTGTTTTTGCTCCCATCCCGTTCACTTGAGCCGGGTAACTATGGGGCGTGTGGGCCAAAGCCTCGGCCTGGCTGGCCTCCACGGTGGCTGACGGGGACACCACGCCACCGTTGTAGAGCGGAACGCCGCTTTTGGACTGCTTTGTTGGGCTAGTGATGCCCGGGGAGTTTGTCTGCGAAGCCATGTCGGCGAGCAGCTCGGCGGCCGTCTGAGTCCCAGTGGGCCCTGCGCAGAAACCGTTCAGACCCATGTCTGCCTGGTATGAGCTGTAGATCTCTGTCTGCTGGCTTCTTCTCTCCAGCGACTCTGAAAAGACTGTTGGTCCAAGGCGAGAGTTTGTCTTCAAGAGCTCCTTCAGCCCCAAACTCTCCATTTGATCTCGTCGTCTGCTGGGTGCACACGTACCTCACGTCCTCCCTTCATTTTCCAACTGAGCCGCTGCTTCCTCTTTCGGAGAGGAGCACTGCAAGTATCATGTCCCCAGTCCTTCGTCTGCTCTGGTTTCAGCAGTCACTCTGCGTCTCTGCGTTTGTTTCAGTGCGCCTCTTAAACATATTCAGGCAGCGACGGAAATCTGTGGAGAGTAAAATGATACGTTTTTAGGTCTATATATAGGTGGAGTGCAGACCATCTGTTACGGAGAGCATTAGTAAAATAAAACGCCAAGTTTCTGTGATGCAACATGTTGCTGTGTGGTATAAACTGTTTAAGGTGCTACAGTTCAAGACATCAATAAGGACTTAATTTCAGATTTATAAATGTTTGCATAATATCCATTTAGGATCATAGTTTTAATTTAAATAAAGATTTAATTACGTTAACTGATTAAAAACATTCAACTAAAATTGTATTAATTAATTTATTTTTTTAATTGAGTTGCACTATCTGATGTTGCGGTCTGTCAGATGAGAAGTATTGTCACCTTAAATTATTTCATGATGGACAAAATCAGATAAGGGATTCTAAGTCCATACTGAAACAAAGTTTGACAATTATTTCAATTAACTTGTGTTTCTTATAACTTCAATTTTGTTACAATTTAAAATTCATAAAGGCTTAAATTAGGCTTTATTTTAGATTACAAATTCAGAACATCAGTAAGTTAAATACCTTTTATATATTAAATTTACACAAAATGGTAAATTCATACATTAAGCAAATAAACACACTCATCATTTCAATTACTTAATACATCTATAAGCGTAAATAATTTGCTATAATTATAAGCTATCATAATTAAGTATTACTGTATTTCATTATTTATCTTTTATGGTTTATGATATGGATTCGTCATCTGTCTGATATATTAAAGTAAGAGAGCAGGGAATTGCTGCTATTGTTATTGACTGTAATACATCATTTGCAAAACGTAACACAATTGCAATTATTTGAGTCGAATTGTCTTATTTAGCTTCTTCAAATATTTGTTAGTAATTTATTTAAATCATCACCTGCACAGGAAGTAAGCAAATTATTACAGTTGCACGTCAAAATAGATGTCCATGTGATATTTTCACCATTAAAAAGTGCAATAAACTATTTTATGCCTTGAAACAAGGATGAGGGATTTCTTAATGGAATAACAGCAAGTGGAGAGCAGAGGAGAGAGAAAAATAACTTATACAGGTTTAGGGATGGTGGCTGGTGGGCGTGGTCTCAATGGGAGCCCAAATCGACATCTGCTCGGAACCCCAAACATTCTCGATTCGGCCCTGACAGTGAGAAACCCTGAGCGTTTACTGGTGCCACAAAAAGGCCTGCATTCTTGGATGTCTTTGGATTTCATCTGAACACTTTAAAAACAAAATGGCACTGCAAACAAGTACAAGTCTTATTTTGTATATTAGTCATAAAAAATATGCCTAACACTTATACTTTGATTAAACAACATCAGCGTAAAAAACAACTGGCGCTATTGTCGTTTTCAAAAAAAAGTACGCGTTTACGAATGAAATTTAGAAGGATTTTCGCTTACGCAAACATAAAAATAATGTATTTTTGCGTCTTTGTCTGGTTGTAATCACCAACTTAACAGCTCCATACAAGACAGGAATACATTTCACAGAATATTAAATGAACATTAAAATATTTTATTTTTTTTATTATTATTTTTTTTTTAAAGAAGTGTGTTTGACATTTTTCAAACAAAGAGATGAATAAAACCGTCTCGTTACACTCACCCTCCTCCTCCGGCAAAGCAAATCCTCGGCGAGCCTACGTGACGGGCTGAGAGTACGCATGTTATTTCCGGGAGTGTCTCTGCTCGGCTCGGCTCGGCTCTGTGGTTCGTCCCATCCGAGTTTCTTTCCTTTTTTTTTTTTGCGGCGGTTATAAACAAGGCCAGGTGGCGACGGGAATCTGACACGTTAAACCGTTACCGGGAGACGGAGGGAGCAGGAGGAGGGGGCGTGTGGGGGGAGAGATGCTCCGAGCCGGACAAGCTTCCCGTAGACAGCCACAGCCAGCGCTCCCCCCGATGTGTCGAGGAGCTCCCCGAGTTTCTGTCTGCCTCCCTCCCCCGTCCTCCTCGGACTCTTCTCCTCCCTCCCCTCCCCTCCCCTCCTACCGCGGCTCTCTGCGTCGAGTCCCGCCTGCCATTTGCATGCAAACGAACCACGTGACCCGCTGCTACAGCCGACGTTCGGTCGCACGAGCGTTGTCCTCTATTGAACGCAGGAAGTAAAGAGACACATTGAGACAACTTGAAAATGATGCGTTAGAGCGTTTTCTGAAATGACAGTGTTGAGTCGTAAACTCGTCCCTGGAGTTGCAAAAACAAAAAAAATAAATAAAAGTCCAGATAATGAACCGTAAAGTCAGGGGCGGTGGTTACATGACTGGGGTCCCGGGCAAAGATCGGACATTTACCCCCCCATCTGCTTCCTGCCACCAAATATGTAATATAATAGACCAGGTTAGATGTAAGAAATAGAATTACTAACACAATGATTATTTGGACCTAATTTTAAACCTTTACCCATACGGTTATATAATAACGTGATAGTTGGATATCTAGTCATTTTTCAGATTTGAAAACTAAGACATAAAATAAGGAAACATGAAAATAGTTGGGAACGAATTGTTAGCAAACATCAAAACTGATTTGTGCTTGAAAAAATGGGAATAATTATTTTTCTTTTAAATAGCTAAAATAACAAGTTCTGAATTTTGAATTAAACTACAATTATTATTTAAATTACTTAATTTAAATCTGCAACATAAGTTTCCTGCATTTAAATTTTTGACATCGTCATAACATAGACAATAATCTTAAAGTAAAATAAAAAAAAAGTGACCATAAGTGGTCACTACAATTTGTTTTCATCCACGCCTGTGTTTTTGCAGAGCCTTAGGACATTGAATCCAAACTGTTTCATCTGAAAGTTATTTTCTTAACTATTTTGTTCATTTTGTGTAATTTCTTCTTTTGTGAACATCTGTAAATAGATTATCTACATAGTAAATACAAATTGCTTCTATCCTAAATAACCAAACAACTCCACATTTTATTGTTCCACCCACAAAGCTGAACTGTCTCTGACCTCAGGGCTATAAATCTTTGCTTGTAGACTGGCCGTTTTCATGTTCACGTCTAAATTTGCTTTGCTGGAGGAAATTAGGTAATGTGCTGCTATGCAGCCAGGCCAGGGGTTAGCGCCTGGGATTAATGCCTCACCCTGGAGGATTAGGGACACAGGGTGATGACACAGACCAAGCAAGCCCACATCTCTCACCTCTCATTTCAGTGTAACCTTAGGATAAAAGCTTAGGTTCTGTTGTGGGTCCTACAATAGGAACACATGCAAGCATGGAAATACATAAGTTTAATATGTAAATATATAGAAATGCTCTTAAATCTTACATCTTTTCCCCTTTATCTGTCCTGGTCATTTATTCCTATATGACCTTTGGCCCTGATTAGATGTATCAGTAAAGTCATTTCCTCGTGGCCTTTTGACCTGATCAACTGGACTTCAGTTTACTGACTGACATGATTGTAGGAGGAAATTCAAAGGATGTGCCAGGATGTGAATGTTTCAATCAATATAATTATTGACATAAACTTGATTTAAAAAGAAAAAGATGCCTTCTGACTATTGCAGTAACACCTGTTACAAATGTTGCATGTATAGCGGAATGAAAACTTAATTAAAATCTACAGTGTAGTAAGGTGGTATATGTGCCATAAACAAATGCATATGTACTTCTAGTCCCTTCATGTCACATATCTTTGTTTGTAAAAAGGTGTTTTGAGACCAAAGTCACAGGACAAAACTGCCAGATGGTGCCACATTTGTAAGAAAAGTACATTTGTGAATTTAGCATAGAGTTGAGAATGTGGAGAAGTGGCATATCCCGCTCTTTACTCTTGCTTTGAGCTTCTGGTACCCCAGACGGACACGTCCAGGTGTGTCTGTGAAAAGGACTCTGCTATTGGGCTCAGCTGTTGCTCAAATCATGCCAGCTTCAACAATGTGTCAAAAACAATCCTAGAGGATTTCTCCTTGCGTCTCCTTTTCAGTTTGAGGTAAAACCATGCAAAAAGGTTTTCGCGTTTACCACGACAACAAAGAAACAGAGTTGACTTCAACTCTTTTCAAGAAAGGTCATTTCTCCTCACATGCGCAACGACTGTAATCTTAGAAATTGGCTACAAAGGACAACATTGTCAGTGTTTTGGAGAGGTCATCGCAGAAATCGATTTAGATCCACTAAAAAAATGTGAGCAGAGCTGCAAAGGTGCAGAGTGCTAAATGTGTGACTTTTGGGTTTATTGGGTATACACTTAAAAGCAAGATATGATGGGAATGTTAGACTGGAAACATTTCATGATGCTGGCCAAAGGTAACTTTCATTATGGGCAGAGGAACGAGCGCAGAGAGTAAGTTCATTTCTAAGTCCCGGGTCTTGTCGGAGCAAAACAACCCGAGCCTTCAGCTATTACTCTTAGCAAGATGCATTCATCTCAACAGCAGTGAGAGATGGATAATCAGTTATTGTTCGGATTTGATTGCGAGGAAGAGAAGCGAGTTTCTTCACCTCTCCTGCCCGACGTGCTGAAACAGCACACGCAGCCCCAACCAGAAATTAGTCTTGATTTCATTCCAGCAGAAAGAGACAGTTACACAATGAACCCAATAAATCTTTCTGAAACCCAAAGTCACATGAATAAAATGAGTTTGAAAGTAAACGCTTTCAAAATGCCATCTTCCCAGGATGTGCAACGAGGAATTTGTTGCAAAGCAACACGCTGTCTTGTTAAACTGTAATCTTTCTGGCTTCATTAATGTGAGTCAATCATTTATCTGCTGACCGGTCGACACTTGAATCTAACACTTGTTTGTTCCAGGGGCAGATAAACTGCATGCTCTTTGCCAAGGTCAGCGCTCCCTGTGCAGCTGGCTGGAATCCCCCAGACTGTGTATCGCAGATTAGTGCAGCTCTGCACGTATACACATCTCCTCCTCTGTCCCTCGCTCTATCTGTCTCTCCTGCTACTTCCTCCTGTTTGTTGATGCAACAAGACTCGAGCACGGATACCAAAGAGTTAACATAAGGTAGACTCCTGCAGCTGCTTGCTCGCTTACTTTAATTTTTTGCTAATTTTTCTGGGTGTGTTAAGCAGCACACGTTGTTTAATCGAAATGTGGCTAAAACAACAAAAGCCAATCTTTTATCTAATCAGTGTTTAAAATACGTCAGTTAAATCAACACACATAGATGACTTATTGTTTATTAATCCGGGCAACTTTGAGCTTCGTCTTCTAGTCGTGGCAATTGGCAAAACCGAAAAATCATCATGCTTGGTGCGCAGATGATGAAGGTCAGCTCAGAAGGCCCCCACTTCAAAAATAGATGGAAGCACTCGGGTGTCGTGGACAGTTTGTTTTTAGATAGTGAGGAAAACCTGACAACAGAGATACTAATGAGACGGCGCGCTCAGGAAAATGACATCGAACTGGATGACGCATCCTGAAAACATATGCTGACCATGCATATGCTTTGCATGGTTTTCCACAGCACTGAGTGTGTGGAAAACATAAAAGCCGAAAACATCTCGCCGGATGAATCTAAAAGATTTGTGCCCTTTTCAAGGAACGAAAGTTACAGAATTTCAGATTTTCCTATGATCCGGTGCAAAATCAAGTGGCAGCGTATCTGTAGCCAGAACACTGGTCTTATCTTGATCAGGCTTAATTTAAAATGAGCCACTGTGTTTCCATCGGTCCATTCTGGAATCATGCCCCTCACGCATGTTGGCGTTGCTCTCTTAATTCTGATTTGTTCTTTTTGTATGACTTCTGTCATACAAAGAGGAAGTTGAGTAGCTGGAAGGATTTTTGCTGTTATGTTTTTAATTTCAGACAGTGGTTGTGATGCATATTTGCAATAACCAGGAGGAATTGGCGATACTCAAATAGTGCCTGACCTATGACCCCACCGATCCCAGAGTTCTTGTAAAGAGGGCTTCAGAATCGAAGTGCAGGAGGAAGTTAAAAACCTCTCTTCCATTGATCATATTGGGCAACTCCAACATTGCTCTGCCCTGCTTTTTAACCAAATGGCCAGACAGAGATTTAAAAGCAAAAGCAAATGAGGTGGATGAGCTGTGCTTGTCAACGACTGATGTTGTCATTCAAGACTTGTTATTATAAAATATTGTCTCTACTGCCCGGATTTTGAGCTGTTAGGTAGTCATGACAGCAAAAATCTCTTCAGTCAGAGGCTTCTTCAGATTTGTTGCAAGACTGCTACTGGAGCATCAACGTCCAGTACCTCTGGTGTCAGGTTTTCCTCGCAACCTGAATAAAAACAAACTGTCCATGACTCTTTCAAGACACTTGAGTGATATGAGGTACAATAACATCCAGTTTCACTTTGAGATAAAGTATTTTTGAACTGAATTGAATCAAAGTGATGTTCTGGGCCACGGGTCTGTGAACTGCTGTCCCAGAACCACATGTGTCAGGAATGAGTTGGTATGGATTGTAAACCCAACTTAGCATTTCGTCAAGGGTTTGTTCAAATACTTTTGAATACCTGATATTTAGCAACACATAACTTTTGATTTCAAATCAGAGCGAACTTTTTTTTCTTTTAGGTCAAATAGGATTAGCAAATTATGCCATGTTGGATTTTAATGAAATTACTATTTTTTTATACTGCAGCAAAGAAGAGAAAATCTTTTTATGGATTCTGAGTGGCCTTTATTGAATAAAGAAGGTTATGTTTCTCTTTAAAATGTCTAGTTTCAACTTCAAGTCTAGCTGTTCCAGAGAAAACCATTCTAAGCGTTACCCTGTGTGAATCAGTTTTTTTTTCCTAAGTATGGGCGTACACTTACATTCTCCCATTGTGTTGGGAACTGTAGCGTGAGAGTGGACAGTAGGTCAGCTGCAATATTACATCAAACATTTGTCTTTAAAGACCATGCATCGTAAAAAAAAAAAAAAAAAGCACACAGGAACACAAATACAAACTCCGGCTGCGCGGCTCACTTTGCTCCTCACCCTGAAACAATCTGATGTGATGATAGGTGGAGTGTTTCTGAGTCCCAGCGGATCCGAGAAGACAAAAGACGGTCCGGAAGAGGCTGCTCGCTCATCCTCGGCGAGTGCATGTCGGCGCACTGATCCTTCTGCAAATACACACACAAATACACACAAAGGCACAATTTCACAGAGTGTGGAAATGTATGCGAAATTTAAGGAACTTTTTGAGATAAGTGGAAAAGAGGAACCTTATTGGAGAACTAGGGGTCACCACACATGTCATGTGAAAAATAACAGTATTTCATGCGTATTTTTGAAATCTTAAATAAAACAACACTACTCAGAGAAGCTTCTTCATGACCTGAATTAAGTTTCTATGTATGTATACATTAATGTTCTGAAAATCTTTAATGAGTTGTTAAATATTCTTGAATTTACAGCAGCATATCAGTGTATAAAGTGTGACATTAAATACATAGCAGATGTAAGGGTTAAGTATCATTTATCCCTGGGCGTAAGTGATACTATGGTAAATTTGATTTATTTATAAGTTAGGTTCATTGGGTTCAATTTGTAACTCACTTAATTAAACATTAACTCGAGTAAGTAGGGAGATATACAAAAAAATCACTCATTTTATATAATATCTGTGGCATATTTACAGCAAAAAATGCATTCTTTTAAAAGTTATTATAGCTAGACATTTTTTGCAAGTAAATGAAATTACTAATGTCAGATAACAACCAAGTACTTATAAAGTGTTTACAATTTTGATCATTTCACTTTATGCAAAGAGGAAATTGCTATTTATCATCTATCCATTAAAAATGAATGTATAACAGATTATATTTTGACTGGTCAGTTTCACCACTTCTGTTTTTATTAATAGCTTAATGGCAGTGAATGTTTCTGCAGTTTATGACGTTATTTTGCTATAAAACAGAGCGATATTCTTGGATGATTAGTTCATTTGTGACTTGTTTTAAAGGCATGTGGAGGGCCACAATTCCTGCTCACACTATTAATGAAATAAATCGCAGTATGCAAATTGGAAAAGGGAAGTTTGTCCCTTTGAGTTCATTACAAACTATGAATGTTTTCCTCTGTGTGATCTGGGCTGCAAAAAGGCCTCATGCTAACATCCAAGTAACATAAATGTGACACTACATATAAATAATGTTGGACGTCACAGTGGAGCTGAAAATGTGGAGGTAGATATAAATAGATGGTTACATTTGATTAGATCAGGGGTTAGGACTATGGCGGCTGACAGGCTGAGACCCTTGCTAGGCTATGATGTTTCATTATCCTGTACTCTGGCGCCCTCGTGTGGCTTTACCATGTTGTTGCAATTTGTGCAGACATCGATTTCCCACAATTCTGAGACCAAGAAGATAAACATCAGCTCAAGTTGAGGTACAAATATTAATTTGAAGTATTTTTGGGAAAAAATAGTGCTTAAATTCGACCTCCATGTGACACATCTAAGTTTTTCCTCTGACATGCCAGCAGATGGCGCTGTGGTGATTCCTCACCACGCTTTACCAAGAAGCGCTTCCGGGGTTGAGTGCGAGCACGTGACAGTTCAAAGGGCATGCAGAGGTCGTGTTGTGCTTCTCCTCCTTTCCTACATGTTAGTTTGTTTTCAAGCCAGTCGGTTCTGGTGACGTGATGGCTTTCCTGACGCTCTTCGTGAGAAGGCAGCTGCCGCGGGCCGCCAGCTACTTCCTGGGCCGGCCGGGCCGCGGCGGAGCCCCGCTGCGGAGGCTGCACGGCTCGGCGCGGCAGCGGGTCGGCGAGAAGGGGCCGTGGGGCAAAAGCCAGCGGGGTCCGGAGCAGCCGCTGCAGCAGTACCACCTCACAGACCTCGACAAGGCGGACGCTTTGGTAGGATTTAAATTCAGAAGGAGAAATGCCGAGCTTTAAATCTTGTGCTTAAGATTTGTTTTTGCTTCTGAAGATAAACTTCAAGTGTGTCGATGTGTTTTCTTGTGTTCTGCAGATGCTAAGGAAGTCACATGAGACAGGTATCTCATTCTACACCCACACGCTGTTGCAGGACTTGAGTTTTTGCAGAAGCAGACAAAAATAGATGTATCTGTGGAGCGTTTTTCAGGTTATAGCTTTTAGGTTAGGTGAAACTGACTCGTTACTTCACCCACTTCAGTGAAATGGGAAAACTGCCACCTGAGGCCAAATGTACCTTCAGCATGATGCCGCCACCACCGTGCCTGATAGTTGAAAACGTTCTCCTCTATTTGAAAGCCTCACCTTGACTCCTGTAAACGTACATCTCGTCATTGTGTCCAACTTGTCTGACCAGAAAGCCTTCGGTGCGTCTGTGCATTTCCCCTCTGTCTCAGGATGGCAGCTTTGCTCAGACGTTTAAAACACCTTTGGGTGTTTAAACAAAACAGTTTTGCAAAATGCACAAGACTTAAAACTGCTGACTCCAATACTGTTGAAATGATATGGAGAGTGTTTATTAGCCAACAGGAGTCACACTAGCATCTGATCTCTTGGTTTCTTTGCGTCTTTTGTCATTTATCCAACGTTCGCGGGAGTGTGTGTTTAATTTGAAACAAGATAACAATTCTGGAAATTTCACAAGACATTAAAACTTGTGTCTACGAATCTCGTTTTTAGAATTCCTTGCAGTTTATGTCGTATGATTATTCCTAAATGTGTCCAGAGGGTTTCAGACGCACCATTAAAACATAAATTAAGTGCCAATGAAAATGACATCATCTGATCTGTTGAGTGTATTTAAAACATTCAAACCATATTTTAATACCATGATTAGTTGAATCATGAAGAACTTATTCATGATTTCTTTTCTGGCTGTAGGGTTTATGTCATCTGCTTGTGTTTTTATGTGCATTTGTGACACATTAAAACCTTTTGGCTTCCCAATCCCAAACTTGTCATAAATCTAGTAACAGATAACTCTTATCTTGTGAGTTTTAGATATAGAGAAATAAGTCACAGATTGTCAAAAGTAGAGTTGTGTGCAAATGTAAGTGTGTTGAGGCTCAGTAATTTTATTGAGTGTTTGGTTTTGCAAGGATAGCGATTCTCGTGGAAATGTATGTCACTTCAGCAATCCTCAGACTCTTTCAACATATGTATTTCTATCTCGCTTTTTTGATTGTGACTGTGTCTCTTTCCATTTATTTGGAAACTCAGATCGGTAAGATCTGAGTCTTTTTCTTAAGAGACTTTATCCATCTCTTACGTTGGTCGCAAAGCGTCTATAGTTCAGTCAGAAATTCGCCTTAACGTGACGTGGAACTGGCTGTCCGGGTTCGCATGCGTCGTGTTTCTACGCAGTCTGACAAGCTCAGGAAGAGCTGAATAAGTTGCGGGGAGGAAAAAGAAGCTTCCAGTCTTTATTCTGTTTTCTGTTTGATTATAAAAATCTGAATTTTTCCAAAGAATGCATTAATATCTAATGAATGTGGACCCTTTGCCTTTTATTTTCCACGAGTTTGACAAAGAACATTGACTGCTTTGGTTCTAAAAAAAACACCCCCAAAAACATAAAATTCAGTATTTTTTTAGGTAACCACATTTATTAGCAAATGAAGAAAAAATATTTAGATAGAAATACTAGGACTGAACAATAAAATAGTTTCAAAAACAATAATATAAATTGAGTAGTTTTGGAGCTACTAAGTGAAAGAACCCATAAATAGACACTAGTTAAAACAAATGGGACAATTTCTGTTATTTGACATCTAGACCCATGAACATTTCAATCCATTTATTGTTGAATAATTCTGTGTTATGCATTAATCTAGGGCTTATTAACCTAGCCAAAAAATACTAATAACAACAACAACAACCCCACAACTAGACTGGACTGATCAGAGTTATTGAACCTACAGGTGATTAAATTTAAATCTGTAAAATAAAAAGAAATTACAAATCTAAAATTTGTGTGTGTAGGAACTCTCTGTGCAAAACTTCAATGTTCTTGAGCTTTTCAAAAACTCGTTTAAATTGTGGTCTCAGAACAGCCAGCCCTGCTCGGTGTGTGAAAACAACGGCAGCCTGTGTGACGGGCTGCCGGTCTGTAACGTCTCTTCATGGTTTCGCAGGGTTCCTGTCGTGGTTCAGGAACGGCTTGCTGGCGACGGGGATCGGAGTCATTGCTTTTGTCCAGAGCGAAGTGGGACGGGAAGCAGGATATGGTACGAGTTTACTCAAGCTTAAATCGTAGAGTATCGAGGGAGTAGTAAAGAGAACGAGAAGGAAAAGAAAAGCCTGTTTCCGCCCCCCCCCTGCAGAAACTGAACCATCATGGCTGACGGTCCAAACGGTGAGCTGGTGCTGGAGGCGTTAAGCTCCCATAACAGGAGGACATTCAGAGAAGAAACTTTGCAACCCCAATTAGAGGAAAATGCAAAGCTAACGTTGTTTGGAGGCGTTTTGTCCCGATGCTGCTCACTGTCCCAAAAACAAACTTGACAAAGTGTTTTTGAAAGACCAACAAATTTGTCAAAAAAAAAGGCCTGTAAAACATACATATAGCCAAAGGTGACGTATCTAACCCTCTAAATGACCTAAATCAGGTATAACTGTGACCACCAGAAGGCGGCAAAGTGCTTCTGATATGAAATCGCATCACAAGCTCTGGTGGGAGCTTTGCTGTGTGGTGCTTTTGTTTGAATTTCATGAAAGTATTCTGTATAAAATGTGAATGTAAGGTGATAACTGTTTGGAGAAGTGAAGGGCAAGGAAAGGTAGGAAGGACACAAAGAAGGACAGAAGGAAACAAAGCAGAAAGAAATCAAGGAAAGAAAGTAAGATAGAGAAGAAAGGACCTAAAGAACCCGTATTTAGACGACGAGAAGGCTTTAAATGCATTCATCCAGACCTGGATCAAATCGTTGACTTTTCCAGATTGTGTGGAAACCTTCATGTCTTTTCCAGGAGTGGCAGTAATAGTGTACTTTGTCTTAAGTTAAAACACATGGCATAAATGATTTACTTGCCATTAATTTCTATCTACTGCTTTACGCAGTCTCTATCTAAATCATGTTTGTAGAAACGGAAGGTTGCTGCAGTATTAAATTCTTCAAAACCAATAGATCTAACTGGGCTGTGGTTTATTAAAAATAAATAATCCCCTTTGAAAATTGTTGTTAATGAGGGGAAAAAAAGCAGCTTTTCTCTCTCTGCTGTAAAATCAATGGTGTTCAGATGAAACATTGTGTCAGATATTTGCTGGAGTTTTCGGTCTTTATATCATTTCTCAAGGATTTCTGACAAAAATCATCAGTAGTGAAACGGAGTCAAGGCCTTGTGGTTTTCAGTATTAATCACTGATGTGCATTTCTGGGATTCAGTATTACTCGCAGATCTTTTTCTTTTTTAAATCATTCAACTGTTTTTGATTCTTCATCATCGGGTTCACTCAGGTTTCAAAAACAAAACCGTTGCAGACACTCCCTGACCGAGTCCAGTAACAGCATGCCGATGTGTTTCCACGCAGCTTTCTTCATCCTGGGAGGCGTCTGCGTGTCGTTTGGCGGCGCCTCCTACGTTGGCAGCCTCTTCGCCCTGCGGAGGCTGATGCTGCTGTCGGTGCCAGCTCTGCTGCTCCAGGGCACCGTGGTGGGCAGCGTCGCCCTCTTCTGGCTCTGCGCCGTATCGCTGTACATCGGCCGCCTGGAGGTGGAGATCATCCACGACGACGACGAGGAGGAGGACAAGGGAGAGTGCCGGGAGTGCCGCGAGAGGCAGGAGCAGCGAGGTCACAGAGGCTCCCAGGACAGTGAGGACAGTGGCGGCAAGGGCCAAAACAAATAGCGATCTTCCAATAGTGTGTGTATGTGTGTGTTGTTTTTTTTTTTTTGATGCTGTGATTCAGGGTTTCTGTTATTTGAATGTTTGTGCAAAATGGATATGTGTCCATGTGCAGCTTGTGAGCTTTAAAAAAAAATGCAAACCTGTCATTTTTTATTGTTAGAAAAAATTATTCAGGTTTTTAAACAGTTTAAAGATGCTGAAAATTGAGAAAAATCCGTTTATTTGCTGAATAAACATGTTTTTTCTAAAAATGTCTTTAGTTCATCTAAAAATGTTCATCTGGTATTTTTTTTTGTTGATTTTTTTAAACTTTTTTTATTTGATGCTTATGATTGTCTTTTTGTGCCACTGTAGTCAGTGTCAGTCTCCTCTCTTCTTGGGAGACTGTTTGTCTTATCAACCTGATCGGTAGGATCAAGGCTGACCCTTCACTTTAAGTCTTCAAAATTACGGGATAACAGTTGCTCTGTCTCAAAAGTTTTTTTTTTTAATCAGAGAAAATGACACTGAGGGCTCAGGTTTTTATTACTATTTTACCACTGCAGCAGCACTTTTGTCAAGCTTTGTCTTTTGTCACTGTACTTCCTTAAAACTGTTTGGAAACCAGATATTTTTCACAGTTCGTTCTGTGTTTATGTTTTCGGTTAAAATCATGTACAGTACCAAACTATATCCAAAAACTTCTGTTTTCAGGTTTTCTATAAGTTCAGTTTTAATGGATGCAAGGAGTTCATGTTGGTAATTATATTGCATTTGTTTGTGGAAAACGGGGGTTTACTATTGTTTACTTTTGCGCACCACAGTGTGCACAACAATAAAACCAGAGGAAACTGGTTTTATTGTTGAGACCCAGCATCATTGTTTGATTTTTTTTTTCCTGATAATAAATCCCCAGTGGGATATTCACATTTGAGGTATAAGCTCTTCTTTTGAATGATGGTTGATTTCTTAGGTGATCAAAACCAACATTTTAGCGGATCTCAACATTTTGTAAACCTTATTTTTCATCTATCTTGTCTAATATAAACCCTGATGTTAGCATGTCCAGCCTAGGCTTTTTATTCTCTTCTCTTGACCCCAACATATCCTCCTTCCTTTTTTATTTTAGCTAATGTAGCATTAGCAAAAGCTACATTAGCTAATGTAGCATTAAACTACATTAGCTAATGTAGCATTAAACTACATTTAGCTAACGTGGCATTAAGCTACATTAGCTAAAGTGACTTTAAGCTACATTAGCTAACGTGGCTTTAAGCTACGTTAGCTAATGTGCTCATAATAAATACTATGAAATAATTTGTACAGCTGCTGTAAAAAAAAGATTGGTTTAAAGCTTTATACCAGTCCACGCTATATTCTCCACTCAAAGCAGTAAAAATAACTTTTCACAAGTAGAAAATTTGGCTGAATCGCTGTTAGCTTAGCGTTAGCTACAGTAAACGTTGGTTTCACTTGAAGTGTCTAACGAGTTAGGTCCTGAGTAGAAGAGTGTAAAAACTGCCTGTGTTTGCTGAGATAAGAACAGGTGTCACGAATGCTTTAAAGTTTGCACTGTTGCTCCAGTCGGTGGAGTTAAAGACGAGCAGAAATTATGAATAGAGATAGCTAAAGACATAGCTAGCTTTAGCCGCTACGTTGTCAAATACGAAAACGTTCCAAATAAATTACAGTGACGTATTCTGTTAAAAATTCATAGAATCACAACTGAAATATTAAAGAATAGACTAAATATTTTTTGGGATTAGACTTTTGATATGTTTTCTTTTTTTTTACAATCCAGAAACCTGGCTGACAAAACTGATGGCAGATTAGTCTATTATCAGAACAATTATACCGCTTTATATTTAATTAGTATAATTATTTAATTAACCTTCTTGATCACTGCACTCACATTTTGCTGCAGGGAAGCGGAGTGAATGCATTAGCGTGGCCCTCCTCCCCAGCACCAGCCTAATCCAGCCATTAACTCCACCAGCAGACTCCTCTAAGCCTCTCTGAGAGCCTCCAGCATTCAGTCATTTCATCTTCTGTTTATTCAGGTAACTGCTTTTCTCATCCTTAAAAATAAAAAATAAAAAGGTATTTCCCAAGGCATTAAGGGCTGTTTGAAAACCCCTGTCTCACAGCCAGTTGGAGATTGCTGCTAAAATTTCCGGCTTTTCTTTCTTTTTTCTCTCTCGATTTAATTGCTTTTTCTGTTTAGTTGTCCACAGTGAATCTAAATCAAACTCCTAAAAAGCACACAAAGTCCAAAGCATGATCCTGCCGCCACCATGTTCAGATAGGTACATGTGTTATTATTATTTTTATTTGGAAGAGAAACTCCCCCTAAAAGAAAACAGTACAATGGGGAATTATTGTTACAATTACAACACTACTAGTGATTCCTGCCAAACCTAAAAAAAATCCATAACAATCATCTCATCATGTGTGTCTAATCTGATGCCACATGATGTGATTGCGTAATTTACACCATTTTAAGTGGGAATAAATGTTGGAATATCCTGATTTATTAATCAGCAGAAATAGTGTCTTCGTAATATTTCTATTTTGTTAGCAATCACTGAAAATGAGCTGATGCCAAAGACACGTAAACGTCTCGAGAAACGCTGTTTTGAAAAGTTCTTTAAAGCACGAGAAATAAAACATATCGAATTGCCCACGCTGCTCAAAATCAATGCAACATAAGGGGTTGTCGTGTTTTTTTTTTTTTCCTCTTTTTTTTTTGTTTCACAAATGAGGCTGGAGATAATGGGTAAATGCAGAGTCAGTAGATGCTCCTGCTGCAGTGGGAGTCAAAAGATGTACAAACTGTGTTTTCTGTACATGCATAATTCTTATAACGAGCTCCTCATCTGCACGCATGTATATGAGACAAAATGAGCAGCGTGTGGCTGTGTGTGTGGGAGAGTCCTGGGAGTTGGGCAGGGTGGGCTTTGACTGTGATAAATATCTCTGACTGGGTTAGGGCAAAGGTTTGTGAAATCTCCCAGCCATCGACACACAGCGTTGCTGTTTAGACTCACCCCACAGGCGCCCTGTCTTCCTCTCACCTATTCCTTCCTCTGCTAAGTGTTTTCAGTGTTGCTGGGTTTCACATTCGAGGTCCGCCTTGAAGGCTCTGCTGTGGGATGACCACCGCCTCGACTCCTCTGCCGGCCGCTCCTCCTCAGATCTCTCCTCCGTACCCTTTTCGCCCTGGACTTGTCTCTCCTCACGTCCGATCGTCCGCCACCCCTCCTCTTCCTCTTCCTCTTCCTCCTCCTCCTCTCCCTTCTGCGGCTGCATCTGACTGCACAGGTCTGTTTGGCATGCAGGAGGCTCCTGAGGCCTGGCGCGTCTAAAGGGCAGGGTGCCCAGAGGCAGGAGACGCGGCCTCACTGACAAACACCATCTATCCGAGACCCTGAACAGCCAAACACAGCCGGCCACGAGTCCCGGCCTCATGCAATTTCCAAAACCCGCAATTTCACATCGACGGCCCCCTCAGCCCTGAAAAGTTGGGTTCATCACCTTTGCTTTTTTTCAAAAAAGCAGCCGGCTCATCTGCTCTCAGGTGTTAAATATCATACACACGGATCAAAGGATCTGGCTTTAGATGGAGTGAAGTTTAAACCCGTGTGAGGAGAGGCTGGTTGGGGGAAACGGTGACAAAGATGAAAATCTTACGAGTAATATAAATATATATGTATAGAGAGAGAGAGAAAGAATGAAGGACAAGGAATGTAACTCCCATGCAAGGCAAAAAACTCCCCGCAATGCCTCACTTTATTATTCCCTCTCATATTTTTACTTTTTCAAATGCATTTACATGTGCTGAGGTATTTCCCCCGGGAGCACGACTCTAATTCAGGGGGTAAGATAAGCCATCAAAGTTAGTGACAGAGAGGGCGTACGGGTGACTCAATGACAGCCTGAGCTGAAGACGAGTCGGGGGCAGGGGGGTCGGAGGGGGAGGAGAGGCTGTCACAACTTACGCCGGCGTGTGCACGCACGCAAACAACACGCAGCGGCTTCAGTCGCACAAACCACACCTTTTCCTCAATTTCTAAAGGCGCTATAAGACAAAGAGGAAAAGTTGTTTTGCAACCCTACACGCACACACACACACCCACACACACACACAGTGCATACACTTCTGCACGTACAATGGCATTTTCTCCCCAACAACTGCTCTTGTTTAGTATGCGCTTCCTTTGGTCTTGAGGAGGAATGATCCTCACTCTAATGAACTAGGGCCTGCCACTTGAATGTAAAACAGGATTTAACCCGTCTTCAATGTCAGAGCCCCTCCCTGGGGCTGCTTCAGACAACACACACATACGCATTCAGCACGGCGCAGGCAGAGTGTGCGCGCAGCCGCACGCGCACGCATGCATACATTGCGACGCGTGCCTGCATATATAGTTTCTCATAAGTGAGACGCCTTTGTGTTCATTTCAAACCAATTTATGGCCGAGTGTTTCCTGAATCCGGAGCGCTCGGGTGATGCCCTGCCGGGGGACGGGGGGGGTTTGCTCCCACCTGCTCCACATGCTGCCCTTTTATTAAGGATTTATATTGTTTTGTCCACTTTAGGGAAATAAAAAGATTGTCCACTTTTGTCTTTTGATAATACGCGGTCATGCATATTCAGTAACACAAATATTCTTCGTATATACGTTTCTTTCCCCGCCCTCTTGTTTATTTGCATTTGTTATTAGCGTTTTGTGCTTTCTCACATTTTGTTAAATAACTAAAAACCTCACAGAGGATTTTATCAAGCATTACTGGAAATGTCAGGAAAATGACGCATGGCTTTTTACAAATAGCACTGAGAAAAGTTTGATGGGGATTCATGTTCAACCCTCCTTTACTCTGACTCCTTAAAAGAAAATCTAATCACCTTCAGAAGTCAGTTAATTAGTAAATAGTCAGTGTGTCATTATTATAAAAACTGCTGTTCTGTGAAGGCCTTTATGAGAAACTTTACTCTGATGATTCGTGTTGCAAAGTAACAACTGATTGTTGCTTTTCGGTGACTTGAAAGCCAACATCATCAGTTTCCCACAAGTTGTGTCGGAGATGCAGCAAGCAGGTGAACCAAGGGGCTAAAATGAAACTTTCTGGTCTGAATTTAAATTGGTAAACTTTACTAAGTTATAAAAGATGGCAGCATCATGCTTTAGGGATGTTCTTCTTTAGCAGAAACAGGACGTCTTAGACCTGAATCAAAATAAGAATTATTGGAAACCAAACTTCATAAATGACCGAAGCTTGAACTGCTGTAAGAGGAAGAAGCAATGTTTAACAAAAAAGTCTGAAGATGCTGAAGCAAAAAGAAAATCACCCTAAAAATACTTGCAGCTGTAATTTTGCGAGTGGTTATTCTACAGAAATATAGTGAAAACATTGCGAATCCCAGTGCACACCAATTTATTTTTGATTTGTAATAGTAAAAAAAAAATGAACAATTTAAAAACCATGGAAAAACTTTCCCTGCTCTGCATGGTTAGAAAATGTGCATCATGTGTTTTTGTGTCCCTGCCAATATCAAATGAAAATATAATATGGTCAAGGATGTAACATAAAATGTAAAAAAAACTGACAGAAAATAAACACTTCAAAGGAGAGAAAATGTGCTTAAGAGCAGCATCGTGTATTCTGTTAAATACTTCATGAAGATGTGTGTTGAAAAATGACAAATTTGCAAAATGCAAATATGAATGAGGAACAAGCATGCTTATCTTTAAAGTGTCAGCCAGGCTTTAATATATTTCACACTCTAATTAGGTTGAAATATGCGCAAGAGTGGAAGAAAATACAACAAAATCTATACTTGTGCTCCTCTACTGGAATATTTTATTGTTATCGTCATCTGCATCATTTTTTATTTATTTTTTCGCTCTTTACATTTGTTCATTTTCGTCGATGGGTGGCGGCTGACATATTCACAAACATGTGAGAAGGATAATGTTAGATTCACAGTGATGGGCATAGGGGTTAGCTTTTTTTTTTTCTTTCTTTTTTTTTTTTCTTCTTAAATTTGGCAACAACGAGAACAAAAGACCAAAACAAAAAGACACACACACACGCAGACAGGCACGCAAACAAACACACACACACTCAGAACCGCATCCACACTCGCAGTTTTACACCGGTAAACATCCGAGAACAAGTGCGCTCCCACACTCGGCATTTGTGACGGCTACAACATATGCGCGTATTGCACACAGCAGGTTGAACGGTCTCTCCCTCCCCAACATCAGGTTTGTGTGTGAACTAAATCCTCAGCAGAAACTAAACTATAATCTCATTGTGAAGGCAAAAAAACAAAAAAAATAAAGCCCCCAAGATTATAAACTTTTGACATTCCCCCCCTGTGTTTTAGGTGCAAAAGACCTCATTCCAAAGTGCTAAGAAACAATTTTTAGTTCATATCTTTTTTTTTTATATATATATAATTTATGGACTACTTAATGCATTAAGTACTGGATGCGTCATTGCAGAGATTTTTTTGTGAAAAATGTCAAACTTTAGGATTTCAATGTTTTCAAATGACGTACCCTTCGATCTCTAGTGCCTCGTCTGGTACGAGCACAAATTGAAAAGCAGAAAATGCCTTCTTCTCGACCTTGAAAAGCATTTCAATTAGTAGAAAGCAAACATTTTTTTTGTTTTGCACCCACGACATTTATTGGCATCCTTGATAAAGATGTGCAAAAAGGCTCAAAACGAATTCATCTTTCATTGCAAAACTGAAAAACTTTGGAAATATATTTCTCCCCGTTTAGCATCCTGCTAACTGTACATGGTGGCAAGGTGAGCTTAGTGACTTTTGCTTCAGGTAAACCTTTTAATCCTGGCTCTGACTATGGGAAAGTTTCTTTCTCCTGTCTTTTCCCTTTTAGGAAGTAGCAAAGAGAAATTGGGTCTCAATGTTGCATTGTATGTATGCCCTAGGAATAGACTATAGATTATGACTTCAAACGACTTAGTCAGAATGGGCCAGTATGTAATTCTGAACCACCTTTTTCTTTTTCAAACTTTCTTTTTCTATCTTGATGATCCAGCGTTTACGCGTCTTTTTATAGCGCATCTACCTGATCGGCTCTTCTCTCTGGAGATTCATCTCCAGATCCCTTCCAGAAAAAGATGAAAACTAACACTACGGCGTCATAATTTACATAAATCCCTTGGACATGCGGGCCGGCATGAGAATACATAAAACACTGATTAATTTCAGAGCTTTTATATAAAACAGAAAAGCAACAATTATGCCTAACCCCTTTAATTTTATGCAATCCACTGATATTTAAATTCTAGCCATGGTATCCACAAAATGTATTTTTGTACTCCAATTTTGATACGTAAACTAAAGCAAATTGAAAGAATAAACATTTAGTGTTAGTTTTTATGTGCTCGCTGCACAGAATATTTAACCATTTTTTCTCACTATGAAGCATTTATTCAACCTTTTTGTGACTCCAATTTCAGTAGATTTGCTTTAATATTAGTCATGAGTGACGATTGTTTCGTTCATACAGAATGATGATTGTCCATCTTTCTCCACTTATATTCTCATGCGCATTACTATATCTTATACTGCAACTTTCTCGGCATTCCATCTGAGCGATCTTTTCTTACTTTATGAATAATTATGACCAGCTGAATTTGTCATCCCTGTCATGGTGAGTAAAGTGTAGCAGCGGCACTTTCAGACAGCTGACCAGCAGTGTGCAGCAACAAGAGCATAATTGTATTGAGTGCACCAAACCCAGCAGTCACTTGGTGATCTTATAAATTTCAAAAAGGGGAGAAAACATTTTTGTTTGCTGCTTTTCTTGCATTTATTTCAAGCGATCACTAATTATGGTAAACGACTACTTCTTTACGTCAAGCGTTTTGCTTTTAATACTCTCTGAATATTAGCATTCAAATTAAAAGTAGGTATTTATTGTGGCATTACGCTGCTGCAATAAAAGACGACTTCACATGCACATCTTTACCCGAGATGCTAATTAACGTCGAGAGCCCCGTTTCTCTATTTTAATTTAAAACCCTACACCGAGTTGACAGCTTTATTTTATCGACCCCAAATGGTCATATTTTAATGACCACAAGGGTCTATTTATCGACCTGTCCTTTTTTTTTTTTGTTCTTTTTCTTAATAATTTTTTTTTTAACACAAATACCGCCGCCGCCCCTCCCCTCTCAGTGCTCTGCGGTCAGTCTATATTATTAACGACCACTTCTGTTGTTTTTCTGTTTTAACAGGATCAAACATCCGAGTCACCAAGTGCATTGAGTTCACACCGGAACAAATTTCAGTAAGTGCTCATAAAAAACACAAAGAGGTCCAGGTGACAAAAACATTCCTGTCCTGCACCACGTCACCACGTCCACCTACTTCCCAGAAAAAAACAAACAAACAAACAAAAAAAAACAAACAATAAAACTATGTTAATTTCTCTGGAAACAAAGATTCTACATCAATTAATTAATGTAAAAAAAAAAGATAAGAAAAGAAAAGAAAAAAACAGTATGGCTTTCATACACAAACACAACCCCATCTCCATAAAGAATATACTATGACTAACACTTAGTCAAACAAATTACCATCTTATATTCAAACAACAACTGTCTGTGATGCAATTTTCCACTCTTTATATACTGGAATGTCTGGGACCGCGTGACTCACGGCTCTGTCCCAACACTGTGCTTTAAGTATGGCTGACTGATGAACACTCCTGTAATATCCTTCAGAGATCCGATATAAAACATCAAAAGGTCACCTCTATCTATATTAAGGGAAACCCAGTGGAAGAGATACTTTTATAATACTGCAATGATAAAAACATTTGACTCCAAATGTCTCTTTTCATCCCCCCACTGGCGAGAGTCCTCCTCCTACTGGTTTAACTGGAGTAAAAGTGACATGGATGTAAGCTGAGGGTTTTCGTGGTTTCGTTCGTAGCTATGTACAGTATGGCTTCTCCAAGTGGAAGAGACACAGAAAGCAACGCGGTCGTCTTGAGGAGGACTGAGCAGAGTTCTGTACTGTTGCGGAGATGAGACGTCTTCAGGGACAGCCGATCAAAAGTGTCCGTGTTCGGTTTTCTCTGAGAGCTGCTGTCACTGGTTCACCGTGGATTTTTGTATCGCATTCTTCCAAGACTGGAGTAACTCAGCTCATTGTCCAATTAGTAGCGTCCTTAGAGGCCATTTCTGTCTTTCATGCCCTTTTGCTGTGCCTCTCGGTCTGTCATGTCACTTCATTTTTGATTTTCTCCTCTCTCCTTCTCCCCCGGTGAGGTTCAGTCTTCCTCCGTGCCCGCGGCCCCCCTCAGTCCGTTCATACAGAAAGGCAGGCCGGAGGAGAAAGGGCTGTCAGACGGCGAGAAACCGCTGAAGGGTGGCAGCCCGGCCAGCCGCTGCAAGTGCGGGAAGAAGGTCGGCGGGGGTCCCTTGTGGTGGTCCGAGCGTAGCTGCAGGCTGTCGCCGTGGCCTCCACCGTGGTGGTGGGAGGGAGGCAGCTCCGGTGGAGCGTAGCGGATGGTGCTGGGGGCGTAGAGACTCTGAGGGCCCTGCGGGCCGAGGGCGAGGGGGTGGAAGAGGACCCGTCCCGCCGCGCCGCCCGCCAGTCTTTGGAGCAGCTCGAAGTCGGGGCCGTTTCCGGTTCCGCCGCCCGCGGCGCCGCGGCTCACTAACCCGGAGACGACCCTGTCCTCGCGGGGCTGTGGGGAGGACACGGACATGGCAGGGGACAGGGCGGGAGACGGAGGGGTGAACAGGCCCTTCGGTGGCGCCTCGCTGCTGGACGAGGAGTCTGGGATTGGGGTGGTGGGGCTGTCGCCGTTTAGGCTGCTGGACGGTGTGTGCGCGTGCGTCGGCTGGGGCTGTGAGGCGTGCGAGTGGGACCCCCAGCGCCCTCCGGTGGACAGGACTTCGTGTTCAGTCTTGATGGTGGGACTTTGCGGCAGAGTGGACGGAGCCACCACGCTTTTCAGCTGCTGGATGACGGCCCGGCCATTGTGCACCCGGCCCGCCCTGTCCCCTCCCGTCGGGGCGTCCCCTCCTCTGCCCTGTTTGCCCCCTCCCCCGCTGTCTTCCTGCTTCAGTCTGTCGCTGTCGCCCCCCTGCTCCCACTCCGCCTCTTCCTCCTCATCGCCCTCGCTTTCGCTTGCGAGGTCTGAGGAGGCTGACACCACTTCCTCCGTGTGCCGAAGTTCCTCCAGGCGACGGCGGCTCTCAGGAGGCGCTCCCTCGTGGTCGGACCTTAGCAGGCGCTTCCTCCTTTCCTCTGATTGGACGGCAGGGGCAGCAAATTTCTCTCTACCTTTGCTGTCAGTGTCACTCTTTCCGACTGTCTTCACCGGTGGTTGACCTGAGCAGGAAAAGAAATTTCAATGAAGAGAGTAGACACTGTTCTTCACTAATTTACTCACAGCTCATATCTGACAGGCAACAACCACAATCCTTTGTGAACGTTTTCAGGATTTTATGCAACAAACCAATGTAAAGTAGTGCATAACAGCAATGACTGAAGAAAAAAGACACATAGTTTTTATATGTTTGCATTCTTATTACTGCTTCATCTGTTCATTGCAAAAAAAAAACAAGCTCATTCAGATTTGATGGGGAATCAAATCCTGCCACAGATTCAGTCAGATTTAGGTTTGGACTTTATCTGGTTTCTCCTGACAAATGAATCCACTTTCATCTAAACTGTACTTTTGTGTTTGGCTTTGGGATCATTGTCCTGCTGGAAACGAACCTTCACCACAGAGTCAAGTGGGTTGAAGCCTCCATCAGCTATGTCCAAAATCATTCCTGTCCCTGCTGAAGAAATAGATCCCCCCACATCATGACACTGCCACTTCCATGTGCCAAGTGTTCCTTGCTTATTAAAGTGTTGAGCTCGTCGTTCAAACTGCTTTTGAGTACAACGCTGCTGACGATGTTGCCAAAGATTGAGAAACGTTATCATGCCGAAGGCGGCGTGTCAGAAAGAGCGGGAAACTTCTTAAAGAGACAGAGGCCCCATTTAAAAAATGCTAAATTGCAAAGTCAAATGTTTGACAGCATTTTTATTAACAACTGAAGATAAGATAGTTAACTGATTACTTATCTTGTCTTTGAAATGCTTTGTTGCTGAAAATGTGCCATATAAATAAAATTACCTTAAATAAATAAATAAAATGACCTATAAAATAGCACTATGCACATGCTCTGAAGAAGACAATTTTCTTCTTCGCATTATGTTAACAAACAAGGTGTGGCATCAGATTTTAGCAATTCCTGGATTCTGGACTTGATTTTTAGTGGTATAAGACGGAGGCTGAACACAAATTCAGACTTATTTCCTGCCCATGTCACAAATTTGTACTATTTTTTGCTTCTCTATTACATAAAATTCCATTAAAACTCCTTCACATTTGTGACTTTAACGTGAAAAATAGCTAAAAAGCTCAAAAGTGTGAATACTTTGGAAGGGAACTGGTATTGACTGGCATGACAAGTAACGTGCAGTACCTCGGGCCTGCGGGGAGCCGTCGGTGGGGGACGAGCTGACTCGAAGTCTCTCCGCTCTTATGCTCTCCGGTAGCTGCAGAAGATCCAACGGAGTGTCGGGCATCTCAGTTCGACTGGGTGGAAAGAGAGGAGAGAGAGATAAACAACTGATCGACCACTTAAATCCACTTATGTAAAAAAAAAACAAAAAAAAAACAAAAGCAGCAGCTCTAGTTTGAGTGAATACTTAGAGGCAGAAACAACATATAATCAGGCAAATAACAGCCTCCAATAGCAAAACTACCTCAGCTGCTTCTAACCTCTGCCTAACACACCCCCAGCCCCTTAAACAGCCCTCAATAAACAAACATACGCATGAACACACACACAAAAACGCACACCGTGTCCCATTTAGCAGCCCACCTATACAAAGTTAAGCTCCAACAAGGAGGGGAGGTTGTTCGAGAAGTTAATGAGCTCTTGTAATTACAACACTAATTAACTAAAACACCATTCAGACCTAAAATTCTGACATCCATTTGTACTAATTATATAGCTTTAGTCTAATTAGCATTGAAATTCAGCCTCCTCCTCTTGTTTTTGTCTGACTGCTTCGTTGTGCAGCCAGCATTTAGCTACTCTGCATGCGTTTGTGTGTATGTATAAAAATACATTAAGACATAAACAAGAGTAATGCAACATTTAAAAGGTAATTTATATTTAAAAACAAGGTGAAGACATTTGAAATGTTGCGTTTCAGCCTAAAAGCTTTTCAATAGGATCATATCTGCTAATTCAGAGCAACAGAGCTGAATAACAAGAAGGCATTGTTATATTGCTGCATACTAATAATGTTGGATCGCACCACAGAAAATACGAGGACTTTCAAACAGCTTGCTAACTGATTCAAAGTAACTTTTAAAATAATCTCTTCTGTATTTTCAAAACAGAACTTTTAAAAGAAGAAACAAATGTGACAATGACGATAAAATCAGATTCCGATCTGTTTGTGACAAGCCCCTAAACCTTAACTCTAAACATCCCCCACAAAGTAATATACATTGCTTTTGTCATTCAGACAAGAATGAAGCAAACACAGTTTTCAAACGGTGATTTGATTAATTCTTTAGGTGGATAGGCCAGAGCCCCAAGTAGACCCGACATATTATTTTAATTACGTTTTAGCAGTATAACCATTTTGCTGCTTGTAGCCACAGGGTGAGTCAAGTGCAAATCAGCTGAGATGTGTGATTGATAGGAGCGGGAAGCAGTGCAGAGCTGCGTGTGTATTGCACAATAACCTGCGCTTGTTAAAATCTAATGAACTTTGTTGATTCAACATGGTAAGCTGCCTACTCCTGGTTTCGCCAACACTTTGCCCTTTCTCGCTCTCCTCGTCAGGTATCCTTAAAAATAATGAAAGCACTTATATTTCTAAGTCATGCTGTATTTCAACAGTTTGGGCTAAGGCTGTCAGAATTAACAAGCTCAAAAATAATATGCTTTGAAGTCAGTACTTTCTCAGTAACCTCCAAATCTCCACCAATAATCCCTGCATGTTTCATCACCTATTCCCCCTCCGAAAGGATTTCTGCACACAGGCAGAATATTGTCCGCATGTAACAACAGCTTTATTTGATAAGAGCCTGCGAATGTGCAGCTGCTGGACCGACCTCAGGACGTAGTTCACCCAGATGACATTGCGCTCATGGGGGGCTTTGTGATTGATGGAGACGGTGGCAGTGGACTGGATCCACAGGTAACCTCCTCTCCTCTGAAGCCAGCGGTAGTAGCCTGTCACCACTTGGCCTTTCCTCAGCACTAACGGTGAGAAAGCAGGGAGGTTGGTTAGTTCAGAAATGTGGCAGTAGAGGGCGCCTTGCACAACCAGACAATGCACACCTATGGCGTCCCAATGTCACCAGTGAAAAGCTGTCTGCATGTGAAAATGTGTGTGTGAGACTCACGGTCCTCGTGGCTCTGCCGGATATTTTCCAGATCTTCCACATGGACGAAATGATAACAGGTATGTCCCACCACTTCCGCTGGGGTCAGATCCATATACTCTGAGATCCTGTGGAGCAATGGATAAAAAAAAAACAAACAACAAAAAAAAAACTAATTTGTCAACTAAACAGAAGCAGATGTATTTTCTAAAAACCACCAGCTGGCTGGGGATTCTGCCAGCCGCTCATGAAAAAACATGAATGTGGGCACATTCCAGAAAGAAAGAAAAAAAAACCTACATAAAACAATTTTTTTTTGTTTATTGGACAAATGTGTGGCGGCACTTATTGTCCGCACAAAAATTATGATAATAAAATAAGCTACCTGTTTTCACAGTATGTGACCTGCAAGTCCATGTTCACTCGGAAGACAAACATGTTGCTCTCCATGCGGACTTCGTTGAGCGTGGAGGGCGGGAGCGTGTGTGCGAGAGCCACCAAGCCCATCGGGCGGCGGACTGAGCGCGTGGAACCCGGGACGAGTGCTGGGCGGCAGCGGATCCGACCGGTCACATGGATGACCTGACAAGCAGAGCGTGGTCCTTAAAAAACAAAGCCAGGTAGGAGCACAAACTAACACATCGACACATCGGAGTGGAGATCGAAGTGAATAATTGGACGGGGTGAATGCTGTGAACAAAATACCAAAACAAGAATGGAGCCGGTCTGACATTACAGCTTCGGGAGCGGTCTACTCTGTGAGGCGAGTTGCTTTAGTGTGTGATAAGGTCAGAGCCATGAAACCAGACTGCTGTGAAACTCTGGGCAGCAAGAAACAACATCTAGAGACTTTTTTGATCCAACATGATGTTACTGTTTAGCAGTGGTGGAAATGAATCAGTGCTTTGACCAAATAAATACTCTGTGCAATATTTAAACATCAGATGTCAATAGTTTTATCTGCTGCTTGTGATTATAATTTGTATTCACTAAAGCTAACTTTTATTCAAATTAAACTTTTACGTGTTAACATTTTATCAAAGTAATTGTACTTTTACTTGACAACACTATTTTATACTCTTTCCATCTCTGCTGTTTGTTCTCTGGATACAATGAGATTGTCTGAGGTAACGTTTTCATTTTCATAAAAAAATCTTTTCTGAAAATGTACAAGATTAACTTACTGTTTTGTCTTAAAACAGAAAAATGTTTTCCTTTTTTGTTAAGATAAAGTGACTTAATGATAATTATAGTTATAAGAAAAGTTGTCCATAGTCTTTGTTTGAATATTAATTAAGTGAATAAGGACCGTGTGGTCGACAACTAAACAGAAATCATGCTTATGACAATATCAACTAAAAAGTGTGATGGGCAATGCTTTTTTAATTTTTTTACAACTTGGCTGTTTTTTCCCCCAAAAAAAATATTTCCAAGAAGACAAATTTGAATTTCAAAGGGAGGGAAATCTGTAGTTGCCTTATTTCAGCCAGCTGACCAGTTGTGTGCAGCAACAGGTAGGACAGAAGAAGCTGGATTATATGATGTGTGCTACTCATTTCACCCTAAGGCTTGTTTTGTTTAACATTAATTTTCATTGTGTCATAGCTGAATCTACTTTTGAAAGGAAGTTGGGCACCAGTCTTCTGTAATTATCTCATAGTTATTGGACGGTAGGACAAAAAATATTTCTGTCATCGGGAAGTCTGCTTTTTCTTAATCCGGGGACACAATCTGTCATAGTTCATAACACTCACAAGGTCAAATGGACATGAGAACCAAACAAACGGAACTAGTGTGTTTCACATTTTACCCGTAGAATATTTTCCTGGGTTATTTCGTCACCTGAACAAAATAAATGCAACTAGGCTGAAAATAATAAAGTATTGAGTTAAATTATGCATACTGTGTGAGCATTTTATGACTGTCAATGCATTTTTTCACAATGCTTTGAGTAAGCTGGGTGTGAAATTATTGTAGGTACAAAACGCAATTAGGAAGGGGCAAAATGGCAACTCATGGGTAAAAATGAGAGCACAAATTGGTGAGGGGGCAAAGTTACCCAGAGGCCTCTATGCTCCATATAGCTGAAGAAAATGCTATGGAAGCTGAACAAAAAAAAAAAAAAAACATTGCCAGAGATTGGCTCTGATTGATATGCAGGTTGAACAATGAAAAATCAAAATAGAAAGTATTAAAACTAAGATCTCCGACTATTTTCAGTCTACAACCACATCGACCAACAGAATGTACTTTCATGCACTTCAATGCGGCTATTTGTAATTTAATCTTGAATACAATACTAATACATCTATAAAATAAGCTGCAACATTTTGCTTTTTTTACTTGTTATAATCCTTGAACATATCAGAATTGGTAAAAAAAAATAAACAAACAAACAAAAAAACTGGCATTGGCAGATGTAAAATTAAACAAAATATGAAAAATAAAACTGGAAACAAGTCAAAAAAATCTTGTTCAAAAACTCACAGCACCTCCTCTATTTCAGACAATAAGCATATCATGATTGGTATGAAACTCTAACCTCTACCTAAAGTTACTGAATTAATATTATGAGATTATGGTGAATTACCTTGTATCCGGAGGATTTGACATGCAGGCCTCTTTTGGTGAGTGTGGACTTCATTCGGATGAAAAAGCCACGTTCTGGTGGATCGTCAGCAGCAGAATGAGGACTGGAGGGACCTGCTGTCAAAGACAAAAACACCATTTTAATGACTGGTAAACAAAAGAAAAAAACTACCACTACTATATCATGTGGCCAGAGACTTTGCTTATGGGAAACGGCAAAAATCTAAATTTAGCTGCTTATTACGGGACAAAAAGTACCAGGCTCAGGGGTACCGGCTAGTGAAGAGGTGGAGGCGGTGCTGGAGGCGCTGTCCGGGGCAATGTGGCAGCCAGCTTCGGCCCGCAGATGCGGTTTGATCCCCAGCCGCTCGGCCATCTCCACGTGGTCCGCCGGGTGGATGTAGTCGAACACGCTGCTGCCCGTCAGCTCCACCTGAACGGAGGCACAGCCACCCATCAGAGTCTAATGCTTAGAGCACAAACACCTCTGCGTGTGCAGGTACAGCTCACACACTTGGATGGGGGGGAGGAAATCAATATATGTTATGACAGGAAAATGAAAGCACCGCTCTGGGTTACTACTCAACAAGGAATGAGGAGGTTGTAAGACAATCCCCCCACCCATCTTACACACACACAAACACACGCACGCCCACGCAACACAATCCAGCCTCTGAGGGCTATGTCACTACAGTGGTACACAAATAAAACCCGGAGAGATAAAAATCAATTGTATGTGTTGATTAAATACAGGTGAACTCCAACTATCTCAAAAGGTCACATTACTATTCTTCCTATTGTGTCCCTCCCTGCTCCTTCTTTCAGTTACAGTCTTCCCCAGCCGGCATAAAGAGTGGTGCAACAGCTCCATGCGATGCTATCATCATAATACATCACAGTCGCATCTCTAATCATTTAAAGGTAATAATGGTGCTGCTGTTGCATGGCATCCATAAAAGTTGCACAATCTAAGACGCTGTGATTCCATCTGAAGGTGTATAAATGAGTGTGCACGTGTGTGTGTGTGTGTGTGTGTGTGTGTGTGTGTGTGTGTGTGTGTGTGTGTGTGTGTGTGTGTGTGTGAGAGAGAGAGAAGGAAACAATATCGGGGTGTAAAGGCCTTCTATTATGGTATGCAGCTTCTGTTACATCTGTGAATGTTTGTGTGTTTCTGCAACGTGTGTGTCTGTGTGGCAAAACCATTCCATCTGATAAAACCCACGGCCACAGCAGCCTCACACCCTTGTCTGTAGGACACAGCCATTTATTACCGGATTAGAGCCATTTACTGCAGGCTTTATGGGAGCTTCAGCTGGTCCTCAAGGACATCACAACCAGGGAAGAGCGGAAGAAGAGTAGAGAAGGAGGGAGTGCAGGAACGAGGGTGAAGGAGGGCGAGAAGGAAACCCCATCAGAGAGAGCGGGGTTGGAAGAAAAGGGCTGGATTTAAAAAAAAAAAAAAAAATCCCAAATAGAAGAGCTGCCAAAGGTCCCGTGGAGCTTCCCAGAACCCAATCTATGAATTTCTGTTTTTGTGGAAAATGGTGCGACTGTGTCTAAATCTAAATATGGAGGCTAAAAGGGTGATTATGCAGAAGTTGGCTAAAACATGTTTTCATTAGGGGAAACTTATCACCCGCATGATGACAAGAGCATCAACACAGATTCTGCTTCTTTTCTCTCTAAAGAAAAATCTGCAATCACACACCGTTTAGACTAAGAGTGACTGGATCACTTAGTGATACAGTCACTTCCTTCTCTGCAAAAAGGAAGAGAAGTTTGACGAGATGGCCAGAATCCTTTATAAAATCAAAAGATAAAGTTCATTTTCTTGTCACAGATGTGGAGATGGAGAACATAAATTGGTCTGAAATTGGCCTTTGTCAAACTGGAAATCTCATGATGAGATTTAAGTCTGGGCCTTAGATAGTTATGTTACGATGTGACAGAACTTCCATGAAGAAGGGTGAAAATCTGTGTTGGTCTGAAGTTTTTCTTTCTTCTTTCCAGGATTGCCTTCGATTTAGGTCTATCTGTCTTACAATAAACTCCAACTAGTTTCCCTGAATAGTTTCCCGCGCTGAAGGAACGCATTCCCTCAGCATGATGGTCATGTATGATCTTTCCCCCCCATACGCCTCCTTAAATGCATGCAAACCTTTTCCCCCAAAACTCGTCTTCTGTGTTCCTTGGTCTTTATGATTCTGTTTGTTCTACAACACTGACAGATCTCTTGAGATCGTCACAAAACCGCAGGATTTCTGCAGGGATCAATAATAAATTACACACAGGTGGAGGGAAATTTGTGGTTGCAATCAACAAAATGTTAAAATGTTCATGGAGCATTACCAGTTCTGCGAGCCACTTGAACATCCACACTTTGCTTTTTTTTTCTGGAAGATGTAATAAAAACAGGGTGTAATTCAATAACTCAAAGTGATAAGATTACCTGTTTATATTTTTTGCTGTTGGACTGCATGCTGATTTCAACTTGTTTATTTCTACTGTCTATGCTTACACATGTAGAACAGATATTAGCATAAATCATTATGGCTACCTGGGTAGTCTTAGCCGACATCCTCAGCAGACTTCAAATAAAACACTCACTTTCCCTGAGCACACTGATGGCATCAGGCTGCATCTTCAACATGTTCTCCTTTGGCATTTCTACTAGTGACAAGACATGCATACAGCATGGAGAATGTTTTCTTTTTCACTGTCTGACAGTGAAATTTTATTTGTTTCTTAGAGGTTTCATCTGTTTTGTGATCTTGTTTTATAGGTTTTTTTATTTCTATATTTTTTTACTGCAAAAATTATGCATTTTAGACTTTTACATACTGGTGTGTTTTAATTACTAACTAGGTGACTTCTGAAAGTAACATGATTGCATTTATTTGGGGCACAAATAAAACACTTTGCATTTTATGGTTCTAGCAGGACAAAATATGAAAATGTTTCTGTCGTAACATTTTTGAGATTAGCATCTCATCAGTGCCTTAGTGTAAAACTCTGCACATGAACATTTCAACAAACCCGACTGATGACTTGTTCCTTCCTGTTGGCTTGCATGCTACTTTCACATATGTAGAACAGATATTCGCATAAATCATTATGATTGTCTGGGTAGTCACATCCGGCATCCTCACAGGGCTTTAAATAAAACGCTCCTATTTCCTCAGCATACTGTTTGCATCATGTTGGGCCTTCTGCACGTTATTCTCTGGCACCACTCAAGTATTTCCAGCTGTGACTGTACATCTCACAGGGAGAATATTGTTTTTACTGTGACAGACAAAACCACTTTTAATATTCCGGAGAGTTTCAATAGATATTTAAGGGTGGTTCAAGAAACAGGATTATCAATGCAGTAATCCTATTTTATCTCATTTAATGAGAAGGGTGGGTTTTTTTCCCTTCTTTTTTACCTTCGTATTGCAGTTTCCATGCTGTGTCGTCAGCACTTTATTTTCAACACTATGCATGTAATGTTAAACTACATACATGTAATGTTGAACCCTAAAAAGGTTTTTTTAGGGTTTAAAAAAATCTTTAGCTTCTTTGAAAATAGATGTTCTTCTAAAATTCATTGCAGTTTTGAAATCCCCCAGAAAAAGATGATGAGTCTTGTCCATTTTGCAAATGGCAAAACATACAGTGTAAGCAAAAAACAAATATGCAGAGTAGTGCACATCAGGAAAAAGCAGCTTGAAATACCAATACAACCTTCTGAGCATTGATTGAGAAAATAAATGCTAAAGTTATGTCAGCCTTCATAAATAAATAAAAAATTGACTTTAAGTTCACATTTGTTTGCAGACAGAGTTATAAACATCGCATGATTTGGAATAAAAATACATCTAAAAAATATATATAGATATTGTCAAAAAATGTCATATTTTTGTTGCCTTTTAAATAGTGAAACTTGTACATCATGTAGATTGTTTAAAAGTTAAATATCGGAAGCGAATGATGCCTAATCAACTAATTAACTCAAAAATATGCAAGAGTCTCACAGTCTGGATCAGTAAACTGTATAATCACGAGGAGGGTTGCTGAATTGACAGATATCAAGTCACTGACATTATTTTAGTTTACATTGTTATGATGTAAAAACTTCAAACTGCCTTGTTGCTGAATTGTGCTATACAAATAAACTTAATTGGTAGATTGAAGGTTAAGCCACAAAATGTCATTGCTAAAGACGCTAGCTCTCCAGACAGTGATGAATCCAAGCGTTTTCATCCAAAGTTCAGTGGAAGGAAAACGTGCACCAGATTATCAGGACTAATTGCATTTCTGTTAATACACTTGGATACAGAACTCTGTGAACAACCAGCTTTTTCAGCAGTGACCTTTCGTAGCTTACCCTCTTGTTACTGTGAGAAACAGAAAGAAGCCAACGTTTGCAGAAAATTGATGTCATTCTCGGTCTGCCTCTCCTTTTCATTTGTACAATTAAAAGTTGTATTTTGTTGGTCTACTCTGTGACTTTATTCTGAACATTTTTCTTTTCTTCAGAAGAAGCTTCTGCAGCTCCGATTATGGTTTGAAAGTTTCAGACTGATGAGTCGTTTTTAGGACAATCACGCTAATGGTGAGTGGAAAAACATCTTAAGGAAACAAGGAATTCTCTTTAAACCTAAAAACATTTGGTTGACTTTCTTTTTTTTGTGTATCAGTGAATTAAGTAAGTTGCCTTCACCTCTAGCTGTATAATGTGCATTTATGAGTCTTTAGTGGACAAAATTCTGCATTTCATTGCTCAAACATTGCTGTCCAAATTGAATGTCTTCATTTTGCTCCTTCATTAGAGAATTTAGATGATCGAAATAAGAAAAAGTTTGAAGTGAGTTTGGTTCCAGGTTCTGCAACCTTCAGAATACAGACAATGTTTTCATGCTGAAAATGTAAATGAAATAAATATTTTCTACATGTTAACATCGTTACAATAAAGTGTTTATTTTTTCGGATTCCTTTTCTCCTCTGTGACTATCCAAACTTTAATTATTTTCCTGCGACAACTCCTTTTTGTCCTGAGATTAAGTTTATTTGTTCTCCTCCTGTTTCATCTCCATTTAACTCTTTCATATCGGCATTAATGCTTCAAAACAATTATTGTTCAGTCCCTCCTTGGATTTAGCTCAGGTTGAACTTCTTTTTTTCTTTTTCTTTTAATTAAATCAAGATCTATTCCGAGCCAAAGACAAATTTAACAAACCCTGAGTCCGAATGGACAAGCAGTATGAAAGAGACAGAGTTTCCCCGCCTTGTGGCATTGGAAAACAAGGTAGCGAGACAAACAGGTCCTTATGGGCTTTTCTGGGGCTTAAGACCTATCCGAATAATATCACTCCATCACAGGCAGGAGGGAGGGATTGAAAAACGATCAAGCAGAAATTAGAAGATGAGAAAAAGACGGTGCAATCGAGA